AACAGTAGCAATGTTTATACGTATTAAACAGGTAAAGAACGGTACAAACTATGCAATACCAGTTATTTCTATGTATGACACTCTCTTTTATAAACTTTGTTACACCAAATAGCAATGACTCTGTATTTTAATTAGGTGATAAATAGTCAATGGGCGGTAAAAACTTTGTCATACCAAACATTGCGATTAAAATGTCTACTTTGTGAGAACCCAGAATGTTTTGTACCATATATATGTATATATATTCAGGTGATTATAATTCTTCTTACATGTATAGAAACTCCTTATGGCGATGAACGTAATATTAAAAATACAGTAAGCCACTTTTATTGTTTTATCGAGGCTAAAACGGAATCATTAGGAGAAATATTAACGAAATTTCAAATGTTTATGTTATTCAGTTCAGAATAGATTTAATTAATTATATTTTATCGTAGAACATTAGTATTAGGCCTATTTTATTTTTAACACTACATTCTTTATTCTAGTCCCTAAGGGATTTTCAAGAATTAGAAGAGTTTATAATAAAAGTATTTCAACCATACTATATTCGCCATATCCACAGCCGACGACACATTTCGCTCAATCCAGAGCTCATCAAGTCGGAAGGGACACAATAAACACAGTAGCAGTCAAAACAGTACTTATATAACATTGTAACATTTGTTACAATAATGGTTGTTATGACAGGCTTAGATGAAGTACATAACTGCATTTGGTTACACCAATCAGTGAGGAAAGTTTTACTGCGACAACACGTGTAACAGCAGTTTAAAATGTCTATATTACAGTTTATCACTAGATAATTCAGCAACAACTAAGTTATCTATAGGTTCTATTTTTTAAACTTCCTCTAGAATGTAGCTGTTCCAGCTTCCTTTGTGTTGTCCATAAACATCCTGCCCTAACCTCATGATCGTCATCACGTGACCTGAGGAATGATATATAATCAGTTCTAATATCATAACGATTATATTACTAATAGCATTTAAACATATGTTATAGGTGTTGTAAGGAAACTGTACACATTCCTGTTACAAAACGCTTCACTCTTTTAACAAAGATAATTCTTGTCGTCTTTATAGGAGAACGTTTTTAGTTAATTTTGCGTAAAAAATGGGATTTACTTTACTTATAAACATAATTTGACAATTTTATTGTACATTAATGAAGCAAAACAATTCCTCGTTAGGGTTTTAGCAAATCAGGGTTGTCTATATTCATCCGCAAACGAAATACTGTTAATTTGTGAATATGTTTGAATTACATATAAATACAGATCAGAATTTAAAATACATTGCTCTTAAAGACCACACTATACATCTGTTGAAAACAATGTAGAGTAGAATACTAAGCTCAAGAAAATTGGTTATATGCATTTTTTCTGTAGATGTCGCGCATGTGTATGTTCTCTGTTTACATCATAAAACGAATAAAGAGTATTTAAAAAGTGTCAGATTTGTTGAAAATTAAAATACGTTCTCTCTTACAGATGGCGAATGTTCATTAATTCATTGTGTTGTTTTTACTGTTAAACATAAAGCTACAAAATGGATTATCTGTGTTGTGTCCAGCACGGGTATCAAACCCTAATTTTAGCGTTGTTAATCCTCTCACTGAACCACTCAGGGGTTTCATTAAATCACTAGACCAGTTACAATAGCTGGTTTAATTTATTTGTTTGTTATAAATACAAAGATACACATAGGGCTTTCTGTGCTATACCCAGTGCAATATCAAAATCTGATTTTCAGCGTCATAATCCTTCTGATATGCCGCTGAAACAACAGCTGCCATATTGTTTAGTATATCAGATTTCAAAAACAATTTTCACATTGTTTTCTGTAGATGGAAATTAGCTATCAGCTTCTTACCCTATTTTCAGTGTTTAGTATATCAGGTTATTGAGAGTTAGTTGAAGTTTGCTTCTATATGTCATAGGTTTTTAGCTCACTAAACCATCAAAAAAGTGCTTAATATATCAGAATTAGTTTAAGTTTTCTCTTGTAGATGGCACACATTTATCGTTTTTATAAAACATGAGCAAAGCATGCATGATTCCGAATTTTATTTTATCTAACTCTTTAACATTACACACAAGACTTTGAATTTAGAAGCTAATTTTGATTCATTCACAACTTTATCTAAAAAGTATGTTTGACATAGTCTCGTAATGCTCTGTGTTTTTTAGATGTTTTGTAGAAACAATAAAATAAATTATTTTTAACATCATTTAAAGTCTCTTTTACCTTGAGTGCACCGTTTGCAGGAGAATGTGGTCATTTACTAATTTCTCCAACACAGATTGCAGGAGAATGTAGTTCTTTACTGACTTTTCCAGTACGGTTTACAGGATACTATAATCGTTTACTAAGTTCACCAGTTTTAAAAATAATTTATTTTACTGTTTCTACAAAAGAAAATCTAAACAAATACACACAGAGCATTACGAGACTGTTTTATATCAAATATACATCTTATATAAAGTTTTGAACGAATCCAAAGTGGTCTCTAAATTCCAAGTTTTGTGTAATGGTGAAAAGTCAGCTGAAATATAATTTTGAATCATGCATCCTTTGCTTATATAGACGTATTCAAGAAATAAAGTCAACGTTATATAATAAACAATAAATTTAAAAGAAGATTGCCCCCAGTCTCAAAATACAATAAACATTATTTTACTCGTTAATTTTACTGTATAAAGATGAAATACTGTGAGACTGGAAAAAGTCTCATACAGTCGACATGTTTCGACGTCCTACTTCGTCATCATCAGGATTGCAATATGTTGTAAAACAATTTTTATTCTATTTTGAAACTGAGGACAGTCTCATTTTAAATTTATTGTGTGCTATTAGGTCGTCAAGAAATTAATGTCGCGTTTTGGAACACTTTCATTAACCACCCCCCAAAAACGCATATCACTTATAGTAGTTAAACGAACCATCTAAACGTCACGTTAGTGTAGCCTATATAATGTGTAAAGTTTAGTATACTCTAATCCCTAATAGTGATGGCACACAACGAGACACACATTCGGCGCGTAATGCTGTTTGAATACAAGAAGGGAAACAACGCCTCTGTAGCCACAAATAATATCAAAGAAGTTTATGGAAATGTTTTGAACGTTCGTAAGTGTCAACGATGGTTCAGTAAATTTCGTTCAGGTGACTTTAACCTTAAAAACTGTGATGGCAGGGGCTGCCATGTTGGAATTAATATTGATGCTCTGAAGACGCTTGTTGAGTCTAGCCCAAGGCAACACACTCGTGAAATGGCCCTGAAATTGCATGTCTCTCATGAAACAATACGTAAACATCTAAGGAATATGA